CTAACAGCTACTTACCCCACAGTCATTGGCTCCATCCCCACACATTCCTACAAAGTAACTGAAAGGAAATCGTGTCAATTGGAAAAGAAATCAAAACAATCTTGCCAGCTAATCTCTCTAAAAAGATAAATCACTTTTATTACTGATGACTCAAGCATAGGGATTTTTCTTAGAGTCCAGTTGTATGAATGGGAAGACTTAGCAGTTTACATAACAGGCTGAGAAACCGGCATTTCTTTCCTGAAACCAGGGGCCCCTGGGTGGTGCAAATAGTTAACAGTGATCACCGCTAACAGAAGTTCAAGTCCACCCAGCAATGCCTCAGAATGCCTCATTGTAAAACATTTCGCTTCCTTGAATTTCACAGATGCTGTACCTTGTGTCCCAGGTCTCTAAGCTCACACTGCCTTTCAGACACTTCTCACATCACTCCTCCTTGCTCATTCAGCTCTAGTCCCGCGGTTCTCATGTTTGGATGCGTAATTGACTTCTCTGAGGAGCTTTGAAGAAATCCTGATCTCCAAGGCCCACATGAAGAATTTAATCAGAATCTTTGGAAGTGGGATGCCGGGGTTGCTGTGTTTAAAAGGCTCCTTAGGTGATTCTCTTGTGTAACCCGAGTAAGGGCCACTGCCCTAGCCAACCCAAATGATCAGTAGGTTTCCTCCATCTCTTCCCTGACCGCCAGACCTTCACGCAGTCACCCCACCTGAATTGGGGAAGAACTTACTCCAGTTTCTGAAATTCTTCCACCAGACTGGATTTCTGCCCAGGAGACATTCTTGCAAAGATAGTCCCATTGATCAGTATCTGGAAGGAACAAAGACAGGCCTTTTTTTAATAGATGAGCGAGTCTACGAAAAATGATGATTCTCAGAGCACCGGAATGATGCTAATATTCAGAAATAAAAACAACAGCAATTGTTCCCAAGGAGCCCTCCTTGGGTTCTTAAAATGGTATTTGAGACTTCAAGCATCCGATTAATGATAATGACCAGTGAAGACAACCAGTCAGTAATGATGACTGCTTAAAATGATGGACATAGTGACCTATAGCCCTATAATGCCGAGCACGATGTTTTCATAACATTTAATTAAATGTATGTATTTATATATATATTGATAACTATGAAAGTAAAGAATAAAAACAAAAAAATTTTTTCCTGAAATTAAAAATTCAGGCATTATAGGGATAGGAAATTAGCATCACTGGCTGATGATGATCAAGGATTGCAGCCTTCAGTATGGCTTACAACCCAGTGTAAAGAAAACCCAGATCTTCACAGCTGGTTCAATGGGTAGCATCAAGATAAATGAAGAAGACATTGAAGTTGTCAAAATTTATTTTGCTTGGATCCATATCAATGCTCATAGAAGCAGCAGATCAAATGATGCTACACAAGACCTCTCTACCATGTTTAAATGAAAGGTTGTTACTTTGAGGGTTTAGGTGCACCTGGCCCAAGCTACGGTATTTTTAAACTTCCTCAGAGGCATATGAAAGTTGGACACGAGCAAGACCAAAGATGAATCAAGACATTTGAATTATGGTGCTCATGACAATTATTGAAAGTTTCACGAACTTCCAAAAGAATGAACAATTTTTTCTTGGAAGAAGTATAGCAGAATTCACTCAGAGGCAAGGATGGTGAGGCTTTGTGTCACATATTGCGGGCGTGTTGTCAGGAGAGACCAGTCCCTGGAGAAGCACATCATGCTTGCTAAAGCAGAGGGGCGGTGACCAAGAGGAAGACCCTCAAGGAGATGGATGGACACAGGGACTGCCACCGTGGGCTCAAACATAACAACAATTGTGAGGGTGAGGCAGGACCAGGGTGTGTTTCATTCTGTTTTACATTGGGTCACTGTGAGTTGGAACCAACTCCATGGTAACTAACAACAGCAACAACAATCATGGGGATTGTGATCCTAAAGGAATCGTGGGCCTCTCAGAACCTTGTACTCGTTGTGTATTGCAGTGTAGAAAGAGCCAGCATCCCTGAAGAAGGAAAAGAGATAACTTCCTGGACTATCTTTCAGCCAACGGTGAACTCCTGACCATTCGTGGTTTGTGACTTCACCATATTACCTGAATGCAAGCAACTGTAAAACTCCTCCCCCTCAGCTCCATCCTATGGAATCTAAATCTTTCTGTGGTTTGTATTTGTGTTCTCTCTTCTTCCCAATCGTAAATTCCGCGTAATGCGCATGCCATCTCAAAGAATTTCCCCTCCTGTTTCTTACACAGTGCATAACATGATGAGTGATTGGGGTGAGGGAGATATCACAATTGCTCTGTGGGTTACATTGAGCACCATCTTTCCCTAGGTTGCTCCTAGCTTATTTATATGTATAACTTACTTGCCTCCTCAGTGGGTTTGTTCTTCACCTAAGCAAGTTTTAAGTTTGACCTTCTTCAGTACAGAGGTCCTCTATCAGAAACCAAACAGAATTGTTCTCTCCGGGGCCTGCACTCCTGCATAACATCAGTATTCGCATTACACTACAAGGCCAGTCTGGAAAAGGACATGCTACTTGGTAGAGGGACAGCAAAATGAAGAAGCCACCCTCCAGAAGATGGGTTGACACAGTGGCAGCAACAATAGGCCCCCAAATAGCACTAATTGTGAGTCAGACACAAGACCAGGCACGGTCTCACTGTGTTGTGCACAGGGTTCCTATGAGTCGCAGCCCACTAGAGGGCTCCTAAGAGCAACAACATGAGACCCCTATTGCAGCCATAGAGCGACAGGCGCTCCAAAACAACCACTCTTTGAGAATTCACTGGGACGTCAATCTTACGGTCAGAAGAAAATTGCCCAGTCAAGCTTACTGATTTCAAATCTAGTAGGAAATGAGAAAAGATTAACTTCTATTTAAAATGTCTGCATCCCTTACGATGCATAAAACTAGTCATTCAATAGCTATATCTAAGCAACTTAGCTATATCTAAGCAACAAGACTGTGCCTGGTCTTGTGTCTGACTCACAATTACTGAGGACCACTCTTAGTAGGTGGCCTCTCCTTTGGCATGCGTGTGCTGGGATTGGCACTCTGAGAAACTCACCTTGGGCAGGAGGCTGCTGAAATGCTGACTTACAACCTGGAAGGTTTTTCCAGTGAGAGCAAAATGGTAACTTCCTTCTGTATCATCCCCAGGGCCTTCTCCTCGGATGTTAATGTAATGGTCCTGAAAACCAAGACACAGTTCGTTTGAGCCTGTTCACTGGCTAAAGTCATTTCAACCCACACACATATCTGAGAGAAGACACAAAAAGAAAGAAAACAGATCACTGGCCATCTCTCTTTAAAAGTCAGCCTAAGCCCTGGTTCCTCAGAGACCCATTTTCTCTTTGTCGCATCCATCTCTGCCCATCCCCGCCACTGAAGAAGGCGATAGGAACACTTCCTCACGCCCTCTTCTCAGCCCAGTTTGATCTCGGTGAGCTCCAGAGGAGGCCACATTTCACACATTGCAAGTGTAAAATACAAAAGCGCCGCTGTTTCACAAAGCTCTCCTTGAAGTTAGAACTTACTGTTTTTCCCTAACAGAATTAATAGTGTTCCACAAGGACACAATAGAGATAGAATACCAAGAAGATGGAAAAGAACAAAAAAAGACAGAGAGAGAGAGAGAATGTTCCCCAGACCCCACCCAGAAGCATAGCTTGATTCTCCAATGCACATACTGCTACCTTCCCCAGGAGAGCCTCTACGAGGTGGCTTCCATGCGAGAGGACGAACGTGCTCTAGTCTTTCTTACGATATTCTTTCTCCAGCACCCAGAAAAGCACTGGGTCTTATAGCTCAGGAAGAAGAGTGGAGGAAAGTGATCGAATTGGGTTCCTGCACTGCACATGTATTGGACATTTGGATAAGTGTGCTGACTCTCAAGCACCTATACACTCTTGCCATCAAAATGTATTCAGTTAGTAAAAGTCTGAGAAAATAGGGTGGGAGATCTGTTCTCAGATATACCTGATTCCCGCACACAGGGTGCTTCGTCTCTTCCACTAGTTTCCAAGATAGAGATGCTGCCGAAGAGCCACTGGCTTCAATGGCTTCAATAAGAATGACTTTCTGGTTTCCAGAAACCATCCCAGACTTCCTGGCGACTGTGATTGCAGTCTGAAGATTGTCACCTGAAAGTTAGATATTCCAAAATAAGGTTGAAGAAAAGACACACACACACACACACACACACACACACACACACACACACGCCCTGGCAATGCAGGAGGGAGTCTGGACCTTAGCGTGGTATGGAGAGAAAGAATCTCTAAGGTCTCTGAGAGTCCTGACCCTTCATAATTCTTTGATCCTCTTTCTAGTTCTCAATGCTTTTTATCTGGTTATTCCATGATCTGCCAGTGTATTTTGCCCCAAAATATGAAGGACATAATTTTTTGCCAAAGAGTAAAGGGTTCTGTCATTCGTTGATCACTTTCCAAGAGTTTAACAAAACTCTTCTCATTTGATGTACGAGTAGTATCTGGTAGATTCATATCTAGTGAAATGGAGTGAGTGCTCCACTTATTACATCGGAAAACCAGAAAAAAATACAAAAAGCAACTACCTGAGGGCATTTAAAAGTCAACAGAATTAGGCAGAATATGTGGAAGGGAGGTAACATTTCTAAAAGGAGCCTACAAGGAGGCAGATGCCCCTTCCTCCCACCTCTCTTTCCAAGACTTTCTCTCCTCCGGCACTTTTCACACGAGCGAGGGCCCGGGTGCTACAGCTGTGCGGGCAGCTAAAACTCTGAAGTAAATCCAGTCTTTCTGGCCAGAAAATCGCCCAAGGGGCCCCCAGGGGCTGGAGAGTGTGAGAGAACGCTGGAAAGGCGAGAACTGGGGAAGAGGACTCCTTCAATTTATAAGTTCATGTAAGTGCCATGATCCACTCAGAGCTGCACATGTGTGTACCAGAGTTCAAGATGCACAGCAAAGGAGTTAAGGACTGAACTAAGATTCCAATCACCTCTCCTGACCCAGGCTATCCCCATGGGTGGGACAACTAAGCAGCACAGCCCAAATTTGGAAACCTACGGGGCCACGGGATCCACCACCTACAAAACCAAACCAAATTCGTTGCCATCAAGTTGATCCTGACTCACAGCAACCCTACAGGACAAAGCAGAACTGCCCTTGGGGATTTCCAACAGCGTAACTCTTCACAGGGATAGAAAGTCCCCCTCTCTCCCAAGAAGCAGTAGATGGTTTCCAACTGCTGACCTTGCAGTTAGCAGCCCAACTGGTAACCACAGCGCCACCAGGGCTCCCCCCGCCTGCCACCCACAGGAGGGAAGGGAAAATTGTGGTAAAAGTTAATGCTCTGTAAATGAATGGAACGTTAGAAGTTCTCCACAGAGAAATGACCACTATTAAAAAAGGAATCAACTGCATATTTTAGAATTGAAAACTACAATCCAAGAAAGAAGAAAGAATGCAAACACGGATGGACGCAGGAACGGAATGGAGAGACAGGAGCAAGAGAGCTAGACAAGAGACCAGGAGAAACGACAGGTTCTAAAGAACAGGGAATTTTAAAATGAAGTTAGATTGAAAGATATCAAAAGGTCTTACATTCATGTCATGAGAACCCCCCAAAAAGTGGATTGAAGCTGAAAAAACATGTGCTTGAGGAAATCATAGTAGAAAACTTTCCAACTTTGGTAAAAACTCAAATTTTCAGATTCAAGAAGCTCGTTGAACCCCCAAACAGGATAAACTCAGGGGGTATGACAATCAAACACTTAATACAAACTGCTGAAAAACAAAGACAAAACATATGAAAGGTACGTAGAGAAAAAACATTTGCACATCAAAAACCATGGAAGCTAGAAAAGACAATGAGACAAGTTCTTTTGAGGGCTGTAAGAAAGGAACTGTCCACGCTGACTTCTGTAGCCAGTGCAAAGCTCCGTCAGGAATGGAGAAATAAAGGCATTCTCAGATAAAGGGAATGGAATTAATTTATCACCAGCAGACACGCTCAAAAAGAAATGCTACATGAAGTATCTTCAAGTGGAAAGGAAATTATCCCAGAGGGAACTTGTAACGAGGAATGATCGAAGAGCAGCAGAAATAACAAGCAACCTGGTCCTTGTAAGACTGACTTTGTTCGCATATGTCCTTTAACCCTTGACTGTTGAAAGTAAAACCTACATATCGTAGGTGTTTTCTGTGTGTGACATATGACATATATAGGGCAACCATACCATCAAAGGAGAGAATACGGACTGGTATATAAGTTTTCTTGAAAGGGAAGGTATATATACTGTGATTCCTAGAGCAATAACTGAAAAATAAATAACACAACAGCTTGCTGGCTAGCTCTAAAATACTTTCTCTCAGATCTACCAAAATGTTTCTGAGAATCCTCTGAGGAGCTGATTGAGTGGGAAGGAGCCGCCCTAGCCTAAGATCGGAAGAGTGTAGAAAGCGAAGAGGCTTCCTCCAGATGCCTCAGTCAGGCACCACAGATCCCCTCTCCACACAGTACCTGGGAGGGTTCCACAGCCCAGGCCTGAGCCTCAGTTACCTGGTGAACAGGTATACCAACCATCTAAGAGTTCCAGAGCTATTTGAAAGAGACCAGGCAGAACAATCGGAACACGCGATGCAGTCGAGCAGATGAAACCTGCACTGAAAATGCCAAAGCGCGAACAGAGCCCTACCCAGAACCAAGCCAAAACCGAAACCCACGGTTTCCTGGCGCCACCCCCCATCCCCAAACCACAGTTAGCCATTCACTAGACGACTTGACAGAGATCATGGCCCTTCCTGAGACCTCAGTTTGTCCTCTGAGAAAATCAGAACGCAAAAAAAAAAAAAATCGTGAAGCAAAATCACAAAAATATGACAGACAATTATAAGATTAAAGATAAGAAATTGAAGGCATCACTCCATGAGACCTGGCATGTGAATAATAAGAGGGAAAGTGGAGAGAACAAAGGCAATAATTAATTGAACAATAGAGGATGTTTTCTCAGAGAGAAAGAAAGACAGATTGATAGTGCTTGTTTGTTCCAAACTAAATTAATCAAGACAGACAGACAAAGAGGCATAGCCTAGTAGCATTGCTAAATTACTAAGGCTTCTCCAAGGTCAAGAAAAAGGCTTATAAGCAGAAAAGAGCCAGTTAGCCACAATGAATCACCATTGGAATCATGATGTGTGATACCAAAAGCCGGACAACAAAGGAATCGCGTCTACAAAGCATTAATGGAAAAAGATTGCAACCTCAGACTCCTATGCACAGGCAAGATAGCACTTAACTGTCAGGGCAAAGAAAGAAATTTCACAATACGTAAGAAATCAGAGCTCACATAACCCCTCTGTCCCATCTTTCACGGATGGAACTGCGTCCCCCTAAAACCGGAGTCAAGTTCAGTAGGCCAGGATTCTCATATTACATATCTTCCACTTTGTGAACTAATAGATCCATCCATGTGCTCCAAGTCTTAACCCCTACGATGTTCATTGGAGCCCTGGTGGTGCAAGGAATGAAGCTTTGGTCTGCGAACGTGGATGTTGGCAGCAAGAACCCACCAGCCACTCTGGGGGAAAGATGCTTCCAGGCAGCCCTCCTTCATGAAGCTGGATAGCCTTATAAGTCAACCTGCTCTGTCACTATGTATGGGCTGGAAGCCACTTGATGGCAGTGGGTTAGAATCGCTATGATGATAATAAGGCAAGGTCAAAGGCAGTTATGTTCATGAGGCAGGATGCAATCTATAAAAATGAGTGTATTTTGAGTCACTCTCCTGTGAGATAGAAACTACAGTAAGCAAGCAAGCCGAGCTCACCAAACGTTGACCGTTTGTGTGGGGTGCTTTGTTCTCTACCTGTGATCATGACCGTCCTTATCCGGGCCGAAATGAGCTCTTCCAGGACAGCGTTTGTCTCTGCCTTCAGTTGGTTCTCCAAGATCAACAGTCCCAGGAATATCAGGTCTGTTTCTATCTTCTCCCTTGAAGTAGATATTTAGAGATGCTTGAACAGAAATAGCTTTTACTTTCTTACCTCTGGACGTCAAAAAACCCTAAAACTTCTCTGTCAAAGTAGCTTTCTAGTTACTCGGTCACCATTGTTCCCGGCAGAGATTATATACCAAGGACGATGCAAGAAAAGAGAGAAGGAGCATCAAGGACAGTGAGACCTTCACTCTGGCGGAATCAAGGGCAAAGGAGCACCTGCGAAGGGAAAGACTGGCTTTTACCTTGAGAGAAAAGGAGCTGAACGACTACAGACATCTCTCTACCTCTTGTGGCTGTCCTGATAGTCATTGGCTTTCCTTCTAGCAACTATCAGAGAGGAGTCCTAGTTCTGGAGCAAAACATGTATTTCTTACAACTGACGCTCTAGGAAAAGAAAATTTGTTTAAGAAATTCATTTCTCAAGAAACCAGGCCTCTAATCAACACTATTTTTACAGTAGGAGGTAGGAGGCCATCATCTCAACATCTACTGCATTCTATTAAGGCTACCACCACCCCACCCTCCCTTCTCTTCAATGGGTGCCCTTGATCTTCTGCAGAAAGTGTGTTTCTGCAAATAACCAAAGCCGGGACACTGATGATGTATCATATCACAGGGCCAAGTCAGAGAAGTACATTCAGGACAAGGGCTCAGAAATGCCTCCTGATTTATTATCTGGCATCCAGAGACCTCAAGGAGATATAAGAGGAAGACACCCTCGCTGCTTAATTTGGGTTGAAAAACAAGAAAGCCGCAACCAGCCCTCTGACCTTATTTGCCATGCGTATTCAATGCTAGACCTCACATCGGCCTAGACACGCAAGAACGTCAGTGGGGATCCTCAGAAACTGCCAAGGCCCCCACTCATGTTGGAAGGATGGGATGCCCTGTTCTTCTGAGCCAGGTATCCACAGTTCTCTAGGATCTGGTCTCAAACTACCTTCCAGCTTGATCCACACCCACCTACCAGGCAAGACGGACCATTGACTATTCTCTTGACAGGCTCTGCTCCTATTCTACACATCTGTTCTAGAATGCCATAATATAGCCTTCCTCCTGTATGTAATGGAGCAAGTTACAAGTTCCTCATGACCTGCCACTGACATCTTCCTTACATTCCAAGGCCCAAATCACATGGCACCTCCTCTGTAAGAGCCTCCACGGAGAGAACTAATTCCTTTCTCGACATAGTACTTCTCATATTTTATTTCTCCATAAATTGCCATTACTGGTTTCAACTCTGAGCTCAACCACATCCACTCAGGGCCTCATAGACAGGCATGCTCACCAAATATTTGTCTCAATGGAATGTGTTTACTCTTATCTTGTCAATTATTAGACAGCAAAATCTGTTCCCTCGAGTTCTACTGTCAGTGTGTTCTCCCTGGGTTCCCAAAGACAGATCAATAACCAGTCATTGAGCACCTAAGAAGGACTGAGGAGGCAGGGAGAGCGCATATACACAGAATATTGTACCCCAACTCCAGAGATTTCACGAGGAATGAGAAGGAAAAGATTAGACACGACCACTTGGGTTAACTGGGATCAGTGGTATCATCAATGTACAAGCCAATTTCCATGGGATGAAGAAATAGATGTTGTTGCTAGGTGCTGCGAGCCTGTTTGGACTCATAGTGAAAGCACTACAGAAAGAAGCGTCACTGTTCTTATGCTTGAGCCCACGGTTACAGCCTCGGTGCCAAGCCATCTCCTTCCGGGCCCTCCTCTCCTGCGCTGCCCCTGCACTTCAGCATGATGCTCTTCTCCAAGGACTCGGATCTCCTGACAACATGTCTAACTTACTTGAGACCAAGTCTCACCATCCTTTCCTCTAAGGAGCATTCTGGCCATACTTCTTCCAAGAAAGATCTGTTTGGGTTTTGTTTTGAGGTTTTTTTGCAGCCCATGGTATTTTCAATGTTCTTTACCAACACCATAGTTCAAGTGCATCGATTTTTCTTTGGTCTTCTTTGTTTAATGTCCAACTTTCTCATGCTTGTGAGGCAATTAAAAATATCATGGCTTGGGGCAGCGCACCGTAGTCCTCAGAGTAACACCCTTGCTTTTTAATGCTTTAAAGTGGTCTGTGCAGCAGATTTACCTATGGCGATGCATCATTTGATCTCTTGACTGCTGCTTCCATGAGCATTGATGGTGGATCCAAGCAAGACGAGATCTTTGACAGCGTCAATCTTTCTTCTGTTTATCATAATATTGTCGATTAGTCCAGCTGTGAGGCTTTGGCTCTTTACATTGAGTTTAATCCATACTGAAGGTTACAATCCTTGATCTTTACCAGCAAGTGCTTCAAATCCTCCTCACTTTCAGCAAATAAAGTTGTATTATCTGCATATAGCAGAATGCTAATAAGCCTTTCTCTGATCCTGATGCCACACTCTTCTTCATATAATCCAGCTTCTCTGGACTGTTTCTTCTTCAGAGAAGAAAAAGATAGGAAGATATCATCAATTTTGGGTGAAGTAAGTGAAGAAGACTTCCTGGAGGAGGTGATATTTGAGATGGTCATTGAGTAAGTTTAATGCCGGATTACAATCTTCGATTTTCTAGTGCCCTGCATACGCAGACGTCAGGCTTTAGAATTTGTCAGAGCTGATGTGACATGGGCCAACCAGAAAGTGCCAGATTGCACCAAGAAAACAGCATCAAGGACAAATGCCTGTAGCCCATCTTGGAACTCAAATTTCTGCCTTTGGCTCACAGCCCACAAAAAGGTTCAATGCACAATAATCATGAAACCAGAGTTCTAACCTCAGCTCTGCCACTCCCTTGCTATGGGATCACGGATAATTCACTTTCTTTGTCTGGTAATCTACTTCTTGTCTTGCAAAAAGAAGGAATGGACTTAACACATCCACATAATCTCTAGCGTAGTATAATTCCTTTACTCTTTTCATGGCCATTCAGTCTGAGCCTGGAAATAAAGAAGAAGTAGTCGCGTGAGGGGTCTCAAGCTCTGCAAGTTGGAAGAAAATGCTGTCTTTCTCTGCTGCTAACCCAGCAGCTGTCTTTCTGCTGCTCGAGAGCTTCTCACAACAATCGCGGGAAGTGTACTACAAAGGGAGTATTGTCATCCCTGTGGCGACGCTTCATGTTCTTAACATCCATGGTACTTCTGAAGGACGAACTATGCACAAAGCAGCCAAGAACTCCCGAAGAGATTCTGACGTCGATGCTAGGAGAACCCAGAGTAACCACAGAAAATGAAATGTGCTTCCCTAACTGGGGATCACCAGTGGTTAGGTCAATTAACTTAGCGACGAGCAACAATGGGCTAAAACATAAGAACGACTGCGATGACGGTGTAAGACCGGGCAGGATTTTGTTCTGTTGAGCACAGGGCTGATATGAGGTGGAACAGACTCGACGGCACCTGCAACAACATGCAGAGGGACAATGTGGCTTTAAGAGGAGACATGCAGCTGGAGACCTGTGATCAGATCCTACTAGGGAACTGTGTTTAGACTTTCACAAGTTCCGACCTTTGGCTCGGGCACATCCTCTCCACTGTGCCTCAGCCCTCATCCCTCCCTGTTGTCTTCATCTGTCCACACAGCCCCCACCACCATGAGTTTGCAGATCATAAATAAGCAAACATATCATGACAACAACTCTACACAGCCAGCTGCACAGGCACCAGAATGTTGATATCTTTCTGGCAGCAGGTTCTTGGGAAATTAAAATTCCTTACAAGTTCTTTCATACCCTTTCCTTGCTTCCAATTTTCTCTTCCCTAGAATGTGAGCTCCCATCTCAAAGTCCACTTTGAGCTCTCTGTCTTGAGTGACCTTGACCCGAGTTGATCTTCCACAAAGAGCTGCAAGAGCCAAGGGTCCTGCCCCAGAGAAACATGGCTTACAATGTTCAGGAGCCCAACACTGAAGACCTTAGTTGGCTCGTTCACAATGTGACAGACTTGGGTCACATCAGTGATGTTCCATAAGGACTTGTGTTGGAAAATTGTGGGAGTCGCTCTACAAGATTGCCTTGTATAATAAAATGAACTTGTGGCTTCAACTCCTGCGTCTTCCACAACTGCTGCCTCCACGATGATTCTCCTCAGAGACGCAAACCACGTATTTCTACCTCTGGATTCAGTGGCGTCCACTGAGTATTTGTTGACATGGATATTCATTTTTGTGATGCATTTTTTCGTTTTCATTTTTATTATCTAGAGAGGATATTACTTTTTGACAGAGAAGATGTGCGGATTAGGCTATGCGTATGTTAACATGGGAATCTTAAAAGAAGTTCTACAGCATGGAGGTCGAGCAAGATAGTGTTAGGTCTAGTAGGACTGGGGGGGAAATGTTAGAATGTCCGTAGTGAAAAAATCACAAGTTTGTGTCCAAATAACAAAATCAATAGCATAAGCATTAGCTATAGTAGTTAACAATAGCTTTAAAAAGTGCTGGACATGGTATTGTAGGTTAAATAAACAAGATAGGCTAAAAACAGTGAAAATAAACAATAACATCAATTAAATCTAGACTAATAAATACTCCGATCTATTTTTGCTTTGGAACCTCCCTAATATAATATATTCATATAAAAACTTTCTCTAGAATTTCCCTTCAATTTCCCCTCAAACGCTTTTCTTCTTTTCCTGCAAACATTATCCAGATGACGTGTTAAGCCCAAGCTGTACTATGGGTTTTACTGAACTGCGTCTTTCTTATTAAGAATTTTTTTCAGGGACCTATTGCTTTGCCATATTCAACAATCCAATAGCTATATATATTTTTAAATACACTACTTGTATTTGGTTCAAAATGGGGACGTGACCATCATTCCACACTCTCTGCACGAGTGACTTCCCATATCTGTTCCCATAAAACCACACAAGCACACCACAGCTATTTCTCCCAGTCAGGGCCTGTGACTTAGGCAGGGCAGGGATGGCTATGTGCGCATTTACCAGTTTCACAGGAAGCTAGCAAGCTATGGATCTGGGTTCACAAGTCCACTCCATTAGCTCCATCCCAGTTGATTGCCTCTTTCCACCAAGCCATTTTCCTTTCTAAAACTGGCTCCCCATTTACCTCGTCAAGGCAGTGAAGTGGTGATCAGCTTCCAGTTTCTTATAGGCCAGTGCAATGACCCGGAAGCCCTGAGTGGTGTAAATCTGCAGTTCACTAATAAAGCTAGTTGGTACTGTTCAGAAAATAACACAGGATTAGTATGCAGTCTTCCCCCTGGCGGTGCTGACCCAGGGTTTCTATACAAGCAGACCCAACTTTCACCCAAGGAAACACACCTCAACAAAAGGACACTCCAGCCAGTGGAAGTTCTAAATTTAACAACGTGGTCCAGGTCGATGTCTTGGGGCTGGTGAAGCTACCAGAAGAAAGTATCCCTCCAGCCCCTCCACACACAAAAAGTAAAAAGAATGGGAAAAGAGTGGAATGTATTTTCTTCGGTTAAACCAGTAAACATTAATTGAGTGTCTCGTATGGACAGGCACGGGGTATGCAGAGACTAAAATGCAGACCTGCTATCCGAACATCTGTCTCATAGGGTGACGGCCAACAGACCAATAATTACCATCAATGAAGTGATTGCTATTATTCAGGTGTTAGGAATGAAATTGTGTCCCCTAAACTGTAAATTGAAATTCCTAATCTGAGGACATCTGAATAGGACCCTGCTTGGAAATAGGGTTTTAATACGATCATACCAGGGTAAAGTGGGTCCTAAACCAAAGTCCTTCTGAGTGGTGTGTTGTTAGGTTGTCACAAAGAGACAGACATGCAGGAGAAGACACTATGTGGTCTAGTAGATGCCTCTATAAGCAGCAAAGAATGCTAAAGGTGTTTGGCAGCCACTAGAACCTGGAAGAGAGCTCCACAGAAGGAACTAATACTACTGACACCCTGTGTGGGATTTCTACTCTACGACCACACACTGTGGTGTTCTGCTACGGCAACGTAGCAAATGAAGACACCGATAATTACAAGGTGTTATGGATGTCCTTGAGGAGCCCGGGTCAGGTAGCAGGCTATCCAGGTGGTTATAGCACGGAAAGCGCATCAGAGTAGAGAAGACTGGGGGTCGGGGTAGATGTGCCAATTATTGAAGGGACCCAAGGAGGGATGATAGACCAAGCTGAAACAGCGACAGAAGCTATGGACTAGCACTGGACTAGACCCAGGGCTTTGTGCTGTTGTACACAGGGTTGCTATGGGTTGGACACATACACAAACACAGACAGAATCACTGAATGGAAAGTCTCCTAAGAAGAGAGTTATGATGGTAACACTCATCAAGATGAGAAATACAAGCTGGATTTTGGTATTCCTGTTGGTGTTGATGTGTACCCAACTGGCAAAGAACTGTAGGCAGTTGGATTAATGGAGGGAACATATTTGGGACAGAAACTTGTTAGTTAAAATCCTGGTCAATGTGCTTACCTGTCTCTGGTTGGCAAAAGCTGGCTACCTTCTCTGGTGCACCTTTCATGAAAGCCAGCCGGTCACCCCCCACCTCTTGGACAATGACCGTCATTCTCTGCAGTGCTGATGAGAATGGGAACTGATGCAGGATCACAATGCCTTCTGCTGGGACCTGGTTGGGCATGGGGAATGGAGAGGGACTTGCCGACATCGTTTCTAGCTATCGGGGATGAAATACTTCTCACTCAATCCTCATTTTAGCAAATTAGGGAAAGAAAGTCTCACCAATTTTCATATGTGGGTTTCAAATAAGACCCTCCAGGAACTGTGGGCCTGACAGGAGTCTCCCTCTGTGTTTGGCTCTTGGGCGGGTGGGTGGGTGATGAGCAGGCTTACCTGGTTGGCTGTTTTGCAGGGTTTAACTACCATGGCATGGGCTGGCACGTCCTTGATGTGGACATCGTCCCCCGAAATATGCATTTCCTATTTCACAAATGGGATATTTCATAGCAGAGTTTTATTTTTTTGTCCACTGATACGCTGTTCAAACCCTTCCTTTGAGAGAATCCTCCAACCACCTCCATGTATTTATTCTTGGTGCCGTCTCCGTCAGCTAGTTAGTTGGAGGCGAACCGGACTTCCTCCCCAACAGAAGGAAATAATACATGGGAACTACTGAGAGCTTGAAGGGCAGACATTTCTGACTTATTCAAGCAACTTGTCCTGCTTTCTCGGTTAGAGTAAGCTGTGTAAAGGCTCAGTCTCCGTTTTTGAAGAGCTTGATTTGAAGATTGTGAGCTCACACAGGCCAGACTGATCGCGGGTGAAGCGAGAACCTCCGTCTTGCACCTCAGCAGCTCTGTCCTCTGAGAGTGGGCCTCCCTCCCCTCCCTGCCTCTTGAACATGGATTGGTAGTCCTCGGGCAGGGCAGGGACTATGGCATACAAGGTTAAATGATCAGTAAACACTCTGTAATTGCTGCCATAATGGCCCCAAATTATAATCAAAGAAATTCTTTACCCAAAGACATCAAAATGCACAGTAATCATCTCATGAAGTGGTTAAAAAAAAACTGTGATGAAATTGTCAACTCTATTGAAACATAAGCAAATGATCATTCAGGAAGGACACACAATGTTCCAGCCGACAACTGCACAATCAGGCTTTATTCCAGTTGGACATGGCTGTTACCGGCTCCCTTCAACCCAGTCTCCAACTCATGGCCACCCCACTGAAGAAGCTGACATGATACCACGCCTGTGCCATCCCCATGTTCAGCAACTAATCAGACAGCTGTAATCCACAGGGCTGTCACGGGCTGATTTGGGAAGCAGATCACTAATCCTTTCTCCCTTGTCTGTCTTAGTCTGAAAACGAGCTGAAACCCAGTCAGCATCGAAGCAAGATGCATGTCTCCACTGACAGATGGCTCATAGCTACACATGAGGGTCCTTGGCCAGGACGGAAGCCGTGTTCTTTCATAGAAACTGGTGAGAATTCGACCACCGAACCACCATGGCCTCCAATTCCCGTTGGAAGGGCTCCTAAAGGTGATCTCTCTCAATGGGGCTAACACTGAGAGGCTAGAAAGGAGGAAAAGCCGTCATGAGATGGATTGATCCAGTGGCTACACCAATGGGCTCAAAGGTAACAACCATTGTGGGGCTGGCACAGGACCAGGGAGCATTTCGTTGTGTTGTCAGACATAGGACCGCTCTGAGGCAGAACTGACTCGGTGGCACCGAGCAGCCACAGGGCTGCGGACAGCTGCGTGTGGAAGGGAGGTGGGTTGGGAGCGAACTAGCAGTTAAGTAGGTGAGATGTGTTCTCTCTAAACCAACTGCTTATTTTACATCCTGTGCTTCTGAACACAGAAGGTCCGCTTGTATGAAAAGATTGCAAAGTCTTCATATTGTTTTGTTTTACATGTAAAAGACATGCTGGTTTGCGTTAGTCCCTTCCTTTTATTGTCTTGGAATCCAAGACCCCAAGACAAGCGAGGACTTCATGGAGTCAAGCAGTCAGTCAGAGCCAAGCTGAACTAGAACCTGAGACCCAGATTCCACACGCAGAACTGCCCCGCCCTCTCTGAAATCTACTTTCACATAGAAGGAGGGGGGTAGGCTTTTTTACAATGTTCCTTTGCATCGGCTCCAGTCTTAAGAATAAAATCAATACTAAGTTAGTAGAACTAAAACTCTTGGTAAAAATGGTTCTATGAGTTAGCACAACACTGGTGTTTCCTAATCCAAATGTTCTAGAACACTTTGAAATGAAACATTGCTCATAGTTCTGAGCAACAATGATATAGTAATTCTTTCCAAAAGAATTAAGAAATGGTTATGGAAGAATTGCTATCAAATCTGAATGTCAGGTACAACGTTTGCATTTGTACCTGACAATCATTAACTTTATTAAACAAATGAGAAAACCTGGCTTGGATTCATTTGTCCTGACTCCTGTAGGGCCTCTGGCTTCATATTTTATAAATATTATGCGGCTCTGTGCTGCTCTGGAGTTGGAAATATTACTAAGATTTTCTGCAGTGCAGAGGCTTACCCAATTGGTGGCTTCAAACATTTTGAGGTCCAGCGGGTCTCCCTGGACGGTCCCATCCAGAAGGATCAGAGAGTGACAGCTGGCCATGGCCGCACACAAGGGACCCCATGGCAAAGGTGAGCCTGAGGCAAAGCTGTGGACTTCCTGGAAACTAAAAGAGGAAGGGATTCAGTCCCAGTCCTCCATGCCAACATGGGGCTTCTTGAAGGCGAATACCTTGTAAAACGAGAATTCCGTGAGCTTACTGCATTACAGACCCACCCTCCCATCTCCCAAGTTAATAGCTGTTCTCCAGAGGTAGGTCTAAAGAATGTGAGCAAGTTTCATGGAAGCTCTGTTTCCTCGCTCCTTCTCTGGGACTGGTTGACTTCAGCTAGGTGGCGCTCTCACAGACTAACGTATTTCCTTGAGAGCCCTGCGGCAGAAAGGTTAGGGAGCCGGCACTTATTTTTTTAGGGATGCATTTCCATCAAGCAATCCTTCACCAAGAGTAGGGGTTGTGTCTTCTGTATCTCTGTGTCATTAGGTTTGATGCTTGGCCCATAGCAGACAGAGTCAACAAATAGATGAATGAATGAATGAATGAATGACGTGCTTATTGGAAATCGGCATGACTTTAAGGATTAAGAAATAAACATTTTCAAGGGGCACTAATTCCTCCTTTCCCACCCTCGCACCTGATGTCCATAGTCAGCCATCATTCAGAATATTTCCTAAAAACCGTAGCTTCTGTGGATTGAGTTGTGCTCCCTAAAGCTATGCATTGGAAACTCTGACTCCTATAAGCCCGTTTGGGGAGGGGTCCTCTTTGTTATGTTCAGGAGGCACTGTTCATATAAGGAAGGTGTGTCTTGAATCAGTCTTTTTAATATTTAAAAAATCAGTTAGGTAAGCCAACAGAGATGGGTAAAATAGATGCCCCGTCTAAGAACAGAGGCTGAATAAAGATGAGAACCGTGCCCTAGAGCTGAGAGGAAGAGCAAGCAGAGAGGGAGAGCCTTGCCCTGAACTGAGACTTCTCCCCCGCTGCACCGTGAGAAAATACACTGTGGTTCCGTCACTCACTTAGGGTGTTTCTGTCATAGCAGCATTGGGCAACTAAGACAATAGCTTGAACTAAAATCGAGTGAGATGGGACTCAAATGTCCTTTGCAACCTCCCTGGTAAGTCCTTGCTTGAAGGAGGAATATCAAACCCAAAACGAACAAGCAAACCCATTGCCATTGAGTGGATTCCAAATCACGGTGCTTCAGCAGGAGTTCACAAAACAGCCCACTGTTTGGGGAGCACGTATCAGTCACAGAAAAGTCATTCTGAACCCCAAGTGAGCTTTGCTTCCGACGCAGGATCTCATGGCTCTCCCCTCGCCTGGCACGTCTGCGGAATCGCTGTCCTGCTGACCCGCTGTGTCCTCTTTCTCTTGCTCTTCCTCCACGTGAGTTCCGAGACTGCTCATTTTCCTAGTTATTTGGCCTTAGACGCTTTTAGACTTGTGCCGATTTTCAAAGTACTCGGTAGGGCATTGCACAGTGGGCTTAAAAAAAATTCATTATCTTCAAATTTCATTTCCACCAACTTTTCGAACCCTGCTTGTAATTTTTGTACACACAGCTACTGTGGCTCTAAATTTTGGGTTTGAAAGAACCCTTCTCGGAATACTGACTCATAATCCAGCATGTTTCTGCCTGGCTTACTCAGTCAAGTCAAGATTCCTTTTGACCCACTAAAGGTCCAAAGGCCTCTTGCATGAAGACTGACCCTCGTGGCCATCTCCATTCTGATGCAGCAACAGAGCAAATTACCTCAATGTTTGGTAACACGGCTCCCAGGTTTTTCATAAGGGGATAAAAAGGGGAAAAAGCCAAACTATGAGAGAGAA